GTTCTATATATAATAGTTTCTCAGTCTTCAGTGTACTCTAAAATCATTTAGGAAGCCATAAAACACCAACCACCAATACCAATTTAATTAGAATTTCTGGATGATAGATCTGTGGCTTTGATGTTACTTTTTAAATTAATTAGACAAGTCGTCCCCTGTTATTCACAAAGTTTGCATTCCAATACCTTCCAATGGATGCTTCACAATGTGGAGTACTGAATCTTATACATATTACTTTTTTTGCAGTGTACACATACCCGTGATACAATTGAATTTGTAAATTACACATGTAAGATATCAACAATAGAAAAATTATAACAACATACTATAATAAAACTTCTGTGAATGTGGTTTGTTGTTTCTCAACTGACATAGGGTGGGTAGCATATAGAGGATGAGTGCACTGAACAAAGGGATTATTCACTTCTTGGGCAGAATGAAGCAGGATGGGTTACATCCGTCGCGCTATTCAAAATCAGAATGGCAATTTAAAACTTTTATGAATTGTTTATTTCTGGAATTTCTATTAAAATTTTCAGACCCCATTTGACCACTGGGTAACTAAAGTTGAGTGAAGCAAAACCTTGGATAAAGGGGATTGCTCTAATTTTATATAAGTACTGTGTGCTGAGTGCACCGCTGGAGCTCTGGAATTACTCTCATTTTACACACACATTAAGTAGAAAAGAATATTTCAGGGAATCCAACTATCAACTCGTGGTCAATCTTGTTTTATCTCTGCTCCCACCTACTTTTTCATACTGTCAATTCTGTATTATTTTTGAGTAACTCATAATGATGTTTCTTGAGTTTGTTTTGTATGCAGGGTTAATTATCTGTTTCTTATTTGTTTTGCTTTTAAAGCTTCCTGGTGATTCCAGTGTGCATTCAGGATTAAGAACCACTGATTTTGATCATGGTTATGGTCAAATGACGCAACCCCATTTTTTTGTTTTTTTTTAGGAAAGTGAGAGACCATGTGAAATTTCAGAAATCTATGACAATCCCACGATATCTGAAGTAAGAATGTTTGATTATAATCTCTATATATGATTCATACAGTGACACTGCTAAGGGGTTTAAGGCTTTTCATATACAGATTTATGATGTGAGTGCACATGGAAGGAAGGAGAACAGAAGAAGCTCAGAGGTGGTTCCCAGTGTAATTTTATTGGCCAGGCAAGAGTTCAAGGTTTATTTAATAGTAGAAAATCAACTTAATGTTACTTATTTCACAGACAAATGAAAAAGGAAAAACTGTGTGACTATCTCTAGGGATGCGGAAAATCTAAAAATCACTTCGTGATATGAACTTTTAGCAAACTAGAGTAGGGACTTCTTAACTTGAAAGTTGACAATCTTTTAAAAACATTACAGCAAATGTCACCGCAATGATAAAATGTTGAAAGCTTTCTCATCAAGATCAGAAATAAATGTAAGATATTCATCACTTCTATTCAGTATTGTATCTTAGATCCTTGACATTAGAGTAGGATAAGAAAAAGAAAATGTATGTCTTAAATAGGAAGAAACACAGTTGTCATTTATTGTACAAGATATGTTCATCTACATAGAAAAGCCAAATAGTCTACAGATAAGTTATCAGAATTAACAAGATATTTTAACAAGTTAACTGGATCAAAAAATTAATATAGAAAAGTAATGTACAGTTCTTAACAATAACAATAAATTAAAAAATGTATAAAATACCATTTTGCAGCAGTGATAGAAATATTTAGAATACTGAAGAATAAATCTAAAAAAAATGTAATCCTTTTATGGAAATAAAACTTTAATAAACAACAATAAATTCCTGAAAAGTGAGAATGATAAATTATGTTCCTAGGCAGGAAGACTTAATGTCATAAAGATGTCAAACATTACAATTTGGTGGTTCACTTATTGAAATATATAATAATATGAAAAATGTGATTCCAATACAAATCCTAATTTTTTTCATGAAATTTAGTAAAGTTCTTCTAAAACCTATATGGAATGAGGCAGAGAATGGTTTTAGAGAAGATGAACAGACAGAACATGTAGAAAACAAATGGCAAGATAGTAGCATATTAGTCTGGTTTGCGTTGTTAATGGAAAAATATTCAAGAATAGCAACTGAAAGGAAGAAAAGTTTATTTTGTTTCATGATTTCAGTTCATGGTAAGCTGGTTTCACTGTTGTGGGCCTAATGTAAAGCAAAACATCCTAGTGAGAAGGTGAGGTGCAGCAATGCTTTCACCTTACTGGAACCTGAGGAACAGAGAAGGAGGGAAGGCAATCAGAGAGGAAGAGCTTGGGAACAAGATATATCCTTCAAAAGCACACCCCCTCGGGCCTACTCCCTCTAACTAGGGCCTACCTCCTAAGAGTCCATGCAGTTAATGAACTAATCCACTTGGTGAAGCTAGAGCCCTCATGATCTAATCAGTTTTCCACATCCCATCAGATGGCAACCAAGACTTTAATACAATAACCCTTTGGGGGGACACTTTGGATTTGAACCATAACAATAGATTTAAACTCAACCATATCAGTAATCATATTAAATGTAAATGATATAAATATCCCCAATTAAAAGGCAGAGATATTCAGATTCGTTATAAAAGCCAAATCTAAATATATGATGTCTACAAAACTCCACTTTAAATACAAAGATTCAAGTAGATTAAACATTAAAAAATGGGTAAAGAGATACTATGTTAATAAGCAAAAGAGAATTACATGACCTGAAAATTTCCCAAAGGCTGTCAGGTCAGCAATTACAAATCTCTCCTTACTTTGTTTTCTGTCTCTCCATATCACTTGTCCTTCCTCATTTGATGTACAGTGTCTTTAAAACTATTGTTTCACTTTCCCCCTGGTTTTTGGTTATTTCAGGTGGGAGGGTGAATATGGTCATATTACTTCAACTTGGACAGCAGTAGAAGTCTCTGAAGGGTATTTTCAAAAAATCTGTTTGTTTTCTCAAGAATCCTAGGAGGTCACCTACACATATGAAGAATACAACAGGAGCACAAGAAGCCCACATATATGTGAAGACTGTAGCAGGAAGTGAGCAGCCCCTGCCTGACACTTACCATCCTCCCGAAGAAACAGAAAGAAGGAGGGGACTGTGGTGGCTTATACCTAGACTAAGTCTGGAATGATATGACTTAGTCCAGGAGCCGATCTGGAGCTGAACAGGGCTAAAGACCCAGGGATTTGTACTTGAAGAGGAGTAGCTAAGCTGCTTCTTAACCAATTCACACTTTGTTTGTAGATGTGGGATACTTTTGGGTGGGTTTGTGTCTTTAGGGGATGGTTCCAGTAAGGATCATTCTGACTCTTGGATATGTTGTTTAAGAAGTAATGAAACACTCTGTGAATTTGCTGTACATCCAGATGAACGCCTAAGCTCCTGTCCTGACTCCAGTGGGAATTTGCCTTTGTGGTTTTGGGAAAAGGGCCTGGTTTCTGAGTGTCTTGCCTTTTCATCTTTTTATTACACCCCTTTTCTCAAAAAAGCTATCAGGCCTGGCTTCTGTAGAAATGTTGGCCAAGGTCAGCCTAGTATAAGTTAGAGTATAAATGAAACTTATGTGAGATGTGTGAGGGGAAGTCATTTCTGATTTCTTCAGTCTACTGCTCTCCCAATTGAGCTATTTCAGCTCTCTGTCTCTTATTTCTGAATATCTCAGAATTAAAAAATCATATGGAGCCACACATTTCCTGATCATAGGGTAGGATATGGTTAGGTCTTGTCATGCAACAGCTGAAAGAAAATTAGACCTGCCACTGAACAACTGTATTACTTTTGGAGAAATCAATTAACCTCTCCAAGCCTTAGTCTGGTTTTGTCCAGGAGGGATTTAAATTAATTGCTTTATGTGGTTATTAAAAATATTAAATAAAAATAAAGGAAAGTGTTTGCCACTTAATAAGTACTAAAAATTTTAGTTCTTGTTCCCTACCTACTTTTTCTTACCTCTTCCTATATTGTGTGTCTGATAAAGTCAAACAGAAGATCACTGGCACTTGTTACCCATATTTGTAATGTCACCAAGAAAATACCTGTGTCAAACATTTTTCCATGGCCTGCAATCCAAATTGTTGACATCTAAAGTTAATTCTACATTGATACCTCAAGGTAATTCTAGTAGTGTGTAAAATTTTAAACCTAGGTCTAGATGTGACCCTGACCTTACATATGAACCAGCAAAAACCAGGTTTTTACAAGTTTTACATTCCGAGTACAGAGGCGCTACATTTGCCTTTCAAGATGTTGAAGATACATGTTTCATTTTAAAATGACTTTTATTTACAGTGATACATTTTATTTTATTTTTTTATTTTTTTTTGGTACCAGGGATTGAACTCAGGACTTTGCACTTGTGAGACAGGTGGTGGCACCACTGAGATAAATCCCAGGCCCCACAGTGAGACATTTTAAAAGTAAGACAGTGTGTGCCTTGTATGACAGTTACTCAAATTATCTTTGAACTTTGTGCCTTAAGTGTAGTTTCTGAGGATACAGTTTCTTCTACTTAAACATCATCATTGTCATCAGTAAGAATAAGAACAAGAACAAGAATAACAAAAATCTTCAGAGAGAACAATGCCTGAGCCTATGAATAGCACTGCCATTTTGGCTTGCTGAGGATTCTCTCTAGAGAGGCTGAATGGAAAGGAAGACATCTTCTGGAGTGGTGCTGGGCTACTATTTGGTGCATATACATTTATGATTGTCATCTGTTCCTCTTGGGTTTTTTCTTTTTTTTTTTTCTTATTTACACATGTGTGACTTATTTATTTCACTTAGGAGTATATCTTTAATATGTATCCATTTTCCTATGAATGAATCTATTCTCTCGCTCTTTATGGCTGAGTAATACTCCATTTTATAGAAAAACCACAACTTCTTTATCCAGTTTCCAACGGATGGGCAAATAGGTTGTTTCCAAGTTTTAGCTATTACAAACTGTGCCGCTATAAACATGGGTGCACATACTTCTCTGTGATATGATTATTTTAGTTCTCTTGGAAGGATACCCAGCAGAGGGATGGCTGGGTCAAATGGAACCTCCAGTCCAAGCTCTTTGAGGTATCTCCATATTGATTTCCATAGTGGTTGCACTAATCTGCACTCCCACCAACAATGGAGGAGGGTTCCTTTCTCCCCACAACCCCGCCAACATTTGTTATTGTGTGATTTCTTGATAGCAGCCATTCTTTGTGGGGTGAGGTGGAATCTCAGTGTTGTTTTCATCTGCATCTCTCGAATGACCAGTGATGTGGAACATTTTTTCATATATTTTCTTGCTGCTTTCACTTCTTTGTATGAGAAATGTCTGTTCATTTCGGATGCCCATTTTTGGATCGGGTCTTTATATTTGGGGGGACTGATTGTTTTGAGTTCTTTATATATCCTTGATAATAGTCCTTTGTCTGAGGTACAGCTGGTAAAAATTTTTTCCCACATTGTAGATTGTCTCTTAGTTCTGCTAATGGTTTCTTTTGAAGTACAGAAGCTTTTTAGTAAGATGAGATCCCAGTTGTTGATTCTTTCTGCTAGTTCCCGTGCTACTGAGGATTTGTTCATAAAGTCTTTTCCTATACCAATGTCTTCCAGAGTTCTGCCTAACTTACTTTCCAGCAAGTTTAATGTTTCTGTTTTAATATTTAGATCTTTAATCCATTTGGATTTTAATTTAGTGCATGGCGAAAGATAAGGGTCTAATTTTAATCTGTGACAGGTTGATATCCAGTTTTTCCAACACCATTTATTAAAGAGGCTATCTTTCCTCCACTGAGGATGGTGAGCTCCTTTGTCGAAGATGAGGTAGCTGAGTACATCTGCATTTGTTTTTGTGTCTTCCAGTCTGTTCCATTGATCCTCAGGCCTATTTCTTTGCCAGTACCATGCTGATTTTATCACAGTGGCTTTGTAGTATAGTTTCAAATTGGGAATTGTTACACCTGGTGCCATGTGACTGTTGCCTATAATGGCTTTTGCTATTCTAGGTCTCTTGTGGTTCCAAATGAATTTTTGGATTCTTTTTTCTAGTTCTGTGAAATATAGTGTTGGAATTTCAATTGGCATTGCATTGAATGTATATAGCAGTTTCGGTAGTATGGCCATTTTCACTATGTTGATTCTTCCTACCCAGGAGCAGGGGATATCTTTCCATTTTTTTATATCCTCTTCGATTTCTTTTTTCAGAGTGCTGTAGTTTTCAGTGTAGAGATCTTTTGTTTCTTTTGTTAGATTGATTCCTAGATACTTCATTTTTTTGGATGCTATTGTAAAAGGAATTTTTTCCCTTATTTCTCTTTCTGTCTGTCTGTTATTTGTGTATAGAAAGGCTATTGATTTTTGGGTATTCACCTTGTATCCAGATACTTTACTGAATCTGTCAATTAAGTCTAGAAGTTTTTTGGTGGAGTTTTTTGGATCTTCAATGTAGAGTATCATATCATCAGCAAATAATGATAGTTTAACTTCTTCCTTTCCTATCTTTATTGCTTTAATTTCTTTCTCTTGTCTAATTGCTGTGGCTAATGTTTCCAGAACTATATTGAAGAGAAGTGGCGATAGTGGGCATCCTTGTCTTGTTCCTGATTTTAACATGAAGGTTTTCAGTTTTTGGCCATTCAATATGATGTTGGCTGATGGTTTTTCATAAATAGCCTTTATTAAATTGAGGTATAGACCATCTATTCCAATTTTTTGCAGGGTTTTTATCATGAATGGGTGTTGAATTTTATCAAATGCTTTTTCTGCATCTATTGAGAGGATCATATGGTTTTTGTCCTTGACTTTGTTAATATAATGTATTACATTCACTGACTTTCGTATGTTGAACCACCCTTGCATCTCTGGAATAAATCCGACTTGGTCATGATGGATGATCTTCTTAATAATCCTCTGTATTCTGTTTGCTAGTATCTTATTAAGGATTTTTGCATCTATATTCATTAAGGAGATTGGTCTGTAGTTCTCCTTTTTGGTTGTATCTTTCTCTGGTTTGGGAATCAGAGTGATACTTGCTTCCAGGAATGAATTTGGAAGTATAGCTTCTCTTTCAATTTCATTGAAAAGTTTGAAGAGTAATGGTAGTAGTTCTTCTCTAAATGTCTTGTAAAATTCAGCAGTGAATCCATCAGGGCCTGGGCTTTTCTTTGTTGGTAAGTTTTTAATTACATTTTCAATTTCACTGATTGTGATTGGGGTGTTTAAAATGTTTTTATCTTCTTCGTTCAACTTTGGTAATTCATAAGTATCTAGAAATCTGTCCATTTCTTCTGTGTTTTCCATTTTATTAGAGTACAGGTTCTCAAAGTAGGTGTTCATGATCCTCTGGATTTCTTTCGGATCTGTTGTGACTTCGCCTTTTTCATTCCTAATTGCATGGATCTGAGCCTTTTCTTTCCTTTTTTTGATAAGATTAGCTAAGGGTTTGTCAATTTTATTTATTCTTTCAAAAAACCAGCTCTTTGTTTCATTTATTTTTTGTATCGTTTTCTTAATTTCAATTGCATTGATTTCTGCTCGGATCTTTATAATTTCCTCTCTTGTTCGAGCTTTGGGTTTTTCTTGCTCTTGTTTTTCTAGGAGTCTAAGTTTCATCGTTAAGTTGTTTATTTGAGCCCGCTCTGTTTTCCTAGTGTGGGCATTCAATGTTATGAATTTTCCACGTAGAACTGCTTTCATTGTGTCCCAAAGATTCCTGTATGTTGTATTGGCATTCTCATTTATTTGTAAAAACTGTCTAATTTCTTCTTTAATTTCCTCTGTAATCCATTGATTGTTTAGGAGAGTGTTGTTCAGTTTCCATGTGCTTGTGAAGTTTCTATAGTTTCTTGTGCTATTGATGTCTAGTTTGATTGCACTATGATCTGATAATAAACAGGGGATGACTTCAATTTTTTTGCATTTATTTAGACCTGTTTTGTGAGCCAGTATGTGGTCTATTTTGGAGAATGATCCATGTGCAGCCGAAAAGAATGTATATTCTGGTTTTTGGGGGTGGAATACTCTATAAACATCTATTAAGTCCATGTGTTCCAAAGCTTGGTTCAGTTCTATTATTTCATTGTTGATTTTCTGCCTAGTAGATCTGTCAATTTGTGATAGTGGGGTATTTAAATCCCCCACTACAATTGTATTAGTGCTTATTTGGTTTTTCATGTTACTTAATATTTGTTTTATATAGTTGGGGGCATTTATATTTGGTGCATATATGTTTATGATTGTCAGCTCTTCCTCTTGAATTGTTCCCTTTACAAGGATGTAGTGTCCTTCTTTGTCTCTCTTAATGAGTTTTGGTTTGAAATTTACTTTATCTGAGAATAAGATTGCTACCCCTGCTTTTTTCTGGACTCCTGATGCATGGAGAATTGTTTTCCATCCTTTCACTTTCAGTCTATGGACTTCCTTTTGCACTAGATGTGTTTCTTGTATACAACATATTGTTGGATTTTGCTTCTTAATCCATTCTGCCAATCTGTTTCTCTTGATTGGTGAATTGAGGCCATTAACATTGATGGTTACAACTGATATATTTTGACTTATTCTTGTCATGTTGTTGTCCATTTGTTGACTCTTTTTACTTTTTCTCCCATCTCCTTTTAGTTTCTTGCCTTGCCTATTTGATTTGGTCTGTTGGGCCTCATGTTATTGTGAATTTCGTTGTCCTTTTCTAGGATATTGTTTAGAATTCCTTGCAGTGCTGGTTTGGTGTTCATTGGGGTTTTTTCTTTTTAAGGATGTAGTGGTCTTAATTAAAAAAGACACTCATAGAGTGAAAGTTAAAGGGTAGAAAACAATACAGGAATCCCCCCAAAAAAGCAGGAGTACCAATTCTCTTTGTAGGTCAAATGGATTTCAAACCAACACTGATTAAGAGAGACAAAGAGGGAAATTTATAGTAGTGAATACTCATATTAGGA